AGTCACAGATCTATTTTCTAGACTCTCCTTCACATAAATAATCATAGCTCATTAACAAATATTACAACATAATAAAAGTAATTTCTAGCAATTATAAGTTGTCATTTTTTTTATACTACATTCTTCATGGTTCCTCTGCATAATATCTTCATTCTGTAAAGGAAAGTTAAAAGAAACTGGGCAGTGCTGTTGTTTTTTTTTTTTGTTTTTTTGTCTTATATTCAAGATATATGTGAATACTAATGGCAAACATTTTCATGTTCAATAATAAATGACAGAGCAGTTTTAATATATTATTATTCCAGTTCTTATAACTGGCTGATTTATTGAGCTTGCTTTTTATTTGTCATAACTAAGTACACAGTCCTAAGCCAGTCCATTAAGTTTAATATGTATTAACATTTCTTGAATGAAAGCAGTTCTCTTTCAGATTCAGTGTAACCAGTTTTGTAAGATGCTTACCATAAGAATTCCTGCATCATGGGACTCAACCATATGTATAAAAAGTTTTGGGGTTTTTTTGTTGTTGTTGTTCTTTGTTTTTTTGTTTTCTGGTAAGATTCTTTTAACATATTCTCCTGGATTGAATTTTGGATGCTGTGTATGTTTCTGAACCAAATAGTTTTGGGAACAAAATACAGATAAAGCACAGGCATAAATCTATCTTGATTGTCCTCAATTAGGATTCTACCAGTGTGAAAGGGTTGAGGAAAATTTTTGAAAATAGACAGATGAATGTCTATAATTTCAATACAAATGGATATTAATAGCCTCTGTATACTTCATGAAAGCCAGTAAAATAGATACCTCTTAAATTTAGGAATCTAAAATCTTGCAACACTAGAAACTAACTTTAAGCAAGTTTATCAGGTTTAACTGGAATACTTTCACATGCCTAGCATTTTTCAAATCTTACCTGCATTTCCATTTTTAGCCATGTTAGACTATTCTGTATTCAGTTTTAACCTACCTAGTAATATTTGCTGGAGAAAGAAACAAGCTCTTTATTACATGCACAGGAAACTAACAAAGTAGAATGTATGGGATGATGAGGAGGTCATTTGGAATGGAAATAAGGGAAAAAATGACATTACATCCAAAACACTACAGTGGAGCCAGTTAATATGTACAATCAACACCAGAAATGTATCCCAAAAAATAGTTACTTCCATTTATCTCATTGGAATGCAAGATAACACTTAGCTGATAATTCTCAAAATGTTTTGCTGGTTTGGGTAAAAAGAAACATTTTTACATGCACAGAATGCTACAGAAGCTTTCTGTTAGCTACCAATCTGCCCAGTAGGCTGATGATCAAAGTCTTGAATAACTGACAATTCTTTGGGGGCCTAGAGACACCGCTAGAAAGTCAATTCACCAGGTTTTTTGTTGTTGTTGTTGTTCTGTTTTTTATTTATTTATTTTTACTTTTTTTTTTAGTTGTAAATGGACACAATACATATATTTTTAATTTATTTATTTTTTCACATGGTGCTGAGGATTGAACCCAGTGCCTCACGCATGCAAAACAAGTGCTCAGCCACTGAACTACAACCCCAGCCCTGGTTTTAATTAACATGCAGTATCAGATTGTCAACCTATAACCCTTGAAAGTATCCCACAAATACATTTTAAAAACATTATTTTGATAATATATGCACAGAACTACACCAAGGAAATTGTGCCTTTACTAGGAGGACCAGACACAATCCTCCTACCTTATTTCTTTTAGTGGAACTTTATGGTAACAGCAGCAGAATGGGCTCTTAAGCAGATTTTTATCCAAATGGTCACTAGCAGAATTCTATGTATATAAGCTAAATATGAGCATGCTCCTTTTAAGAAAGCATGGTTTAAATGTGTACAGAAACATTCTTGCCTTGTGGAAATATCAATATTAAGAGCAGAAGGGAGCTGGGGTTATGGCTCAGCGGTAGAACACTTGTCTAGCTCTTACAAGGCCCTGGGTTCGATCCTTAGCACCACATAAAAATAAATAAAATACAAGTATAACAACAAAAAAAGAGCAGAAGGACTGGAGTTGTAGCTCAGTGGTAGAGTGCTCACCTCAAATGTGGAAGGCACTGGGTTTGATCCTCAGCACCACATAAGGTATTTTATCCATCTACAGCTAAAGAAATATTTTTTTAAAAAGAGTAGAAATGTTGTTTTACAATATTTTCATTCCCTTCCCCTGTTCTACGTTATAATACTAAGGTTCTCATCCTTGGCTTTAAAGTTTTCTCAGACTTTCCCAGGGCTCAAATACACTAAGTTTAAACAATTATACCCTAAATTATCTGGTGACCTGACCCAATTACTGAAATAAAGTAAATCTGTTATACAGTCACATTACATATAAACTGTTGCTATTGTGTTATTACCACACAAACAGAATCTCTGCACAGAGAAGTGTGGTGATTTGTTCTAACCATGCAATCAATTAAAAATATGTTAGTTGTGTGCTCCTCTTAAGAAACCACAGTGCAAATGTGCTTACAAGTTTGGGAAAATAAGTGTCATGAGTTTCTTGTTCAGAGTGGGATGACAAAAACAGAATAATAATAAAGCTGAGGATTTTATTACTCAAGAAATCAATTTTGGGGTTGGGGTTGTGGCTCAGTGGCAGAGCGCTTGCCTCGCATGTGTGAGGCACTGGGTTCGATCCTCAGCACCACATAAAAATAAATGAAGATGTTGTGTCCATTTATTTTTTTAAAAATCAATTTTGTAACTAAAAGCTTTACAACAGTAAAAAAGGTTAGACATCATAGGAATTTCCATAAAATTACTAACTAAAACACTGAACTATTAAACACATCAATGGTAACTGAAAATCTTCATAGGAAGTCCTTGAATGCACCACATACTGATTTTTTTTGACACATTTTAAAAATAACCACAGAATTGCCATATTGAGGCAGTTCTATTGTTGCTCAATACCCAAAATGAAAAGCAGCAGAGAGAATACAGCCAAGGGCATTTTTGCTTTCTCTTACAAAACATTCAAATGCATTTTTCTTACTTAGCTCCAAAAAGGCAAAAAGGAAAGAATGGAGGCTGCCAAAAAGTTTTCAGAGCAGCCACTGAAGGCAACTTGACCCTCAAGGAGTCAAACAGCATGGCCCGAGTGAGAACTTCCAAGAACAGATGGTGTGCTACCAAGCTAAACTTTCCATAGATACTCATTTTTAAAATGAGACAAAAGTTAGCCTAATGCAACCTATATCTTGAAATAAACCTAAAACATTTCTTTTTTAATGAGTTAGACAATGGGCCACATCCCCACATTACAAAATGGTATAATTTGCTCCTCTTATAGTTAGAGCTTGGTAGAAGTTAAGACCATCTCATATCATCTCATATTACCCCAGTGTTTCTAATTCCCAGATGACTTAACACCATCTCATATCATCCCAGTGTTTCTAATTCCCAGATGACTAAGATATCCTTTCTATTCCTACTATGTTTTGCCCCCAAGATTTACTGCTTTGTTTAAAAAGTAGTTCAGAATTTATAAAATTTAGAATCCAAATAAAATCAAATTATGTTCTAATAAAGAAATGCACATATTTTGTACTTAGTAGTTTATTGTTGGTGATGAGATAATTTTGAAATTTACATCTTACAGGATCAAGCAAGTAAGTATTGGTGTTGTTTGGAAGCAAGTTCTCATCAAGGGAAAATAAGATCATAAATGTAGAATAGGGAAAGAAGAGGAAGATCAGTGTTTTCATTTTGATACTTAAGAAGCATCAAAATGAATTTGACTTTTTTAAAATGTATTTGTTCCTAAAAGGGCCTAGACACAATGAGATCCCAGTAAAACACAAATCCTGATTCCCAAACACCATTCCCTGTGAAAAGAAACCAGGGGTCTTGAAGAAAGCCAATTCTTAGTCTGTGTCAGGAAAAATACATAGTAAGCCTATAATATCTTGCTATGGTACAAAGCAAAAACACACTCAGACTGATGGTTCAAAATGACCCACTGGTCAAATCTGGGACAATTATAGTAATTAAACAGAATTTTCAAAATGTTGCGATTCCACAATAATACTCAAAAAGGGGAGGGGAGACAGGGACTAGAGGGAGGAAAGTTTTTCTTTGTAGAATGTTAGTTAATAAATGTAGATGGGATGCCAGCCTTAGAAAATGCCAACTTGCAGTCATGACTATAATAAAATATTGGATTCAGGTGAAAACTGTCAGTGAAAGCTAAAACCACCAAGTGAAGAGGATATGCAGTATTTTCCAAATCTTTCTCCCAAGAATAAAAAAGAATATACTTTTACAATTTAAAAAAGCCTGACAGACTACCCTACTATCAACTTTAAAAAAATCCAATGAAAACCTCGAAGACAGACTGACAAATCAAACTAAGATGGCAAACAAATTGCTAAACCTCCTCTTGCCTATTAATTTATACACGTGGGTGGCAAGTAGTATAAATGTTGCTGAAGGGGTTCTAATTCCAACAACCTATTTTATCAGCATAAGCCACAAAAAGAAGATAAAGAGCAAACACGTTTCCCTTTTAAATTATAACTTCAAGAGAGTTGAAGACTGGCAAGAAACAAGGATTACCCTAAAAGTTAACCTAAAACAAGTAAATAAATTGATTTATAAAAAGTTGGTAGATGATGAATAGATGTTTTGGTTACCTAAATCTAATACATAATTTGATATATGTAATTAGACTAGAGCACACACTGTTCTAAGAAAACTCCCAAACCAAGGAAAGCATTATTTTATCTTTTTACCACAAAATTATCCCACAAAAATTTCCTTCCTTAAGCTTATTTTTAAATGCTATACAACAAATAAGCCCACGCTGTTAATTCCACTATCAGAACGTAAAATGCTCCCTTAAATATTCCATGTGCTCAGTCTTAAAAGCTCCCAAAAATATGACTGCCATCTCAAATGCTGCTTGCACACTCACCTGGATTAAGCACAATACTACAATTATGGTATAGCCATTAAACCTGAAAGAAGTATTTGTACCAGATGGTAGTGAGTTTTATTTTAGATTATAAAATCAGCCTCCCCATTCACACCAATTCCCTGTGACATACCAAACAAATGGAGCAAAGTTAATGACTACATGGTGGGATAATCAAACTTTTTAATCTCCCTTTACACATTATATTAACATCCATATTACAAGGCATTCCATTCACAAATATTACAAATTGATAAAAACTTCACACATACCCCCAAAAAGTCTATACCAGATTCAGTCACTTTAGTAAATCATTAAAATAATAAAAGTAATGAAAACATATCATAATTCTCTTAAAGCAATAAGGTCTGAGGCACTCTGGGAAAGATGTTCTCTTACAAGGATATGTGTCAGTGGCATCAAATTGTATTACCAGAAAGTTATCAGATACCCAGTAATCAAGTACACACTAACAAGGACTTGATGATCTGATTCCTCTTCACTGGATAAACTTCTATTTGGACAGTTGCTGAAAGGAACACAGACACTGGGCAGCTGAGGTCACTGCTAATGAGTCAACTAAGCATAGGTGAGGCGGTTTTTTTATTTTTATTTTTATTTTTTAATTCCCAGCAAACCAAGGACAGCTGCATCCCTACTGCAGGTTACAGTACTCAAAGAAGTTCCTTTCTCTTCACTGTCAGGATTACTCTCACAGCCCACCTGACTTACTGTGCTCACAGCTAGAGACATCTCAGAACTCTTTACCCATCACCCTCTACAGTGCAACCTCCACCCTTCTCTGAGTATCTTCAAGGTATGCCCTTGAAATAAAAGAGGGAAAAAAGGAGGTTTTCTACCTCCCATTTCTGACCAAATAAAGGTCTGAAAATAGTGTATTACAAATTCCTGTGCCCCGCAACAGCCAGCCACCACATGGAGCATAGCTATTTTTGTCATAAACTAGACTTTAAAAAGCCTGATAACCTTCTTCCAAAGTGAATTTTACCACATTCATTCACTGACACAGAGTCCACATTGGAGAGAAAGTCTCACTGAGTGAGTGCTTCCCTACACACAATTACCAGGATAAATAATTAGCATTAGGAAGGGAGGAGGCCAATTCCCAACTAGGAATTAAATCTCTACAAACTATAGATCCACTTATGACAGCAAAAAACCCTGTCAGAGCAGAATCAACCCAAACCAAGGTCACATAGTGTTCGGTAATTACATACATGGAATTTAAAATGTATGCATATATATTTCCATATATATATATATAATTTAAAAAATCTGGAGCAACATGTGTTGCTAAAGTTTCAAGGATTCTCATCTTCAACATTCGCCTGGAAAGCAGCTGGCTCCTGATAGCCAGTTTGTGGCAGTGATTAAAGCAACTATAGAAGCAGGTCTAAGAAAAAGTGCTCAAGGGGCAAATAAGAAAACGGGTATGCAGAGAATGGGAAGGGGGCTGGGATGGGGAGGGGGTACTGAAAGGAGTTGAACAAGGTTTCCTTTATTCTTCTCAGCTTTTTCAGACCCAAGACAAGCTCTTGAAGATACATATCAAATGCTGTGTCCTTCCTTATCTATAGTCAAAACAAAACAAGTGATAAAAAATTGCCTCATCCTTTCTGTACTCTCAATAAAATGCATAGTACAGTAAGAAGGCATTACTGAGATGTGCCATCTTAGGAGAAATTAAAATTGGGACATGAAGTGAGGCCGCGCACTATCAAGTCGCCGGGTTAGGATTTCACAGCCAGTGTCCGTTACCAGCAGCGTGTGCTCAAACTGAGCAGACCGTTTCCCGTCTCTTGTCACTGCAGTCCAACCATCTGGCCAGGTTTCATCCTGCCATCCACCTAAAACAAAAGCAATTTCTTAATTTGATTGCTCAGTCGTCTAAAAATTCTAGGTAAATACATAGAAAACTACTATGATCCCTATTTATACATGGTTTTAGCTAAAGCCTTTCCAACTTCATTTTGATCTTTAATACCCATGAAGTAATGATAATGCTGAAACTTCTTCAGGTGGGCTGCAATGTCACATTTTGTATATTTCCCCATATCAAATATTTCTGAACTAAGACACTGGACTTCAATTTAGAAAACACATTGATAATCCTCATCACATAACTATGAGTGAAGACTTGAACTAATAAATTTAGTTCTTTCCTGATACAGCTTTGGCTTCTAACTAAACTATGGCCAGTGTATACTGTGAAGGAAATAATGTAAACATTTAAATTTCCATTACAGTATTTATTTCCTGATATAATTTTTAAATGGCAGGCACAAAATCAAATGGTGCCAACTGATCATTCTATAAAATTTTTGTAGACCATACAAATGTAACCATAAAGAGGGGCAAAGAAAAAGAAATAAGGATTATCAAGAGAATAAGAAAATACTAGAAATGAATTAGAGGGGGGAGGGAACTATGAAAAGGGGAATGAAGGTTCAGAGAAAAAAGCTGAAAAACAATGACAGAAAACTCAAGGATGTGATGAAGGAAAGGCAGAAAGGTAAAGCCCCAGAGAATCAGAGGCAGAGGTGGAATGAGAAAGTCAGGCAATTCTAGACACTATTATAAAAATATGCATTTATAGAGACATTCTCATTTCAAAATTAGATGTCAAAAAAACAACACATTCTTCATTTAGGTAAAATATTATTTCTAGGCCTAACTGACTCAAACAGAAAAACTTTAGAACAAAAACTGTAGTGAAGTGTAACCTTTTCAATATTAAATTCTAGGATAAAAAGAAAATACGAGAAGGCTTTAAAAAAGTTAACCCATGCTGCATCAAAAACCAAAAGATGAGTAAACAGGAATTTCCAATATAATGACCACTACAGAACTGGATTTAAAGCAAATTATTCTGATTATACTGTGATCTGATGAAACAGGTTCTGTTGTACAGTCAAGTAAAATATACTTGGCTACTATTCTAAGGAAATATACTTTACAACTGACTGCTCATGATCAACACCTTATTCTTATTCTACAAGAATGACAAAAAAACACTACATTTGTGTGGTCTTTAATGTAATAAAGTACTTTCATTAACATAAACCAGCTCACTTAATTCTTACAACAGCCCTGGGGTAAGATAAGGGTTACAATGTTCATTTAAAGTGACCCCCACCTCTTGGTTGAGTCCTGGTGATCCCTTGAGTGTGGGCTAGATTTAGTGACTAACTTTAAAGGAAGAGAAGATGGAAGCCACTCCTAAGATTAGGTTTCAAAACAATTACAAGGACCCAGAGAAGAGGTATCCTTTAATACAGGGCTCAGAGCTCACCAGCCCTACTGTTACTGCCTCACTATGCATCCACTAAGCCCAACAAGGAGCTAGCAGAAAGCATGTTCCTGTTATTAAATGACAACTGCTCTGACACTCTCATAAAACTGAGCCTACCATCACCACCATTTGCCTATCACAGAGAGTAACATGGTGACAGAACAGCTGCCAGAGCAAAGTGTAGTTGTCCTATGTTTTCTTCACAATGCTATATGATACCACAGGACAGGGTGCAGACTCTGAAGAGCCGGACTGTTAATGAGATGAGACTCCGACAAATTCTGCCATGTAAGCAGCTAAGAAACCGAGGCAAGTTACCCTCTTCAAGGATAAGTCTGATTCTCTGTGTGAAGAGGAAAATACCTTCCTCGTAAATTGTGGGAAAATAAATCCATAACTGTCTGCCTCAAAGTAAGTGGCTCAACAAACCCTCTCCTCCTTGGTTTCTCCTTTTCCCCTTCCTCCATCAAACAAACACTTTTACATAGGTTTGATGCAGGCTTCTAATATTACAATACACATTGTGACAAGATCTTAATGAAAAGGGACCAGGATTCATGTACTTCAGTGCCTTCTGATGGCTAGAGAATTACCATGTAGGAAGTACACCTTCTTGCTAACCTTACTATGTTAATTCTCTTTGTGATAATCAAATTCAAGATGGGAAAGGGAATGAAGCTCAAAGACAGAAAGTATAACAGACTACTAATCTAAGAAGTAACAAAAGTAATAAAAACTAAATTAAAAAATGTCACAGCATCATTTTTTCTCACCTTCACAAATCATTGGCTCAATTGTAAACACATGGCCCGATTTCATCACTCCAACTGCTTTGTTTTCTGAAATTAAGGAAAAATATCCAAAGTTAAGCAACAATCAACATTGTACTATTGAAAATCTCATAAGAAAGAGTATACAGTTAATATTTTTATTGTGTATCTTAATTATTTTCTCCTGGTTCTCGTCCTTAAAATAAGTCATTCAAACAGGAAGTATACTAATAACCACCTACTTTGGAAGAGATATTGTTCTACGCACAGCTCATTTGCTTATGCTTTCTACATTAAAATATAGAGATGTCCACAGGCTAGATTTCAGGTATCATTATCACTTCTGTAAGAGGAAAGTGATACCACTTATATTACTACAGATTAGAAATGCAATCACAGAACCAAGTAGAATGCCATCACTCATCCATGTAAAAAATTTGAACAATAGTATTTAAGATCATGCAAAACGTCTCCCAACTCTCTGGGAAGAGCGAAGTGTGTGGGAGCACAGCCCACAAAAACAATCACATGAATTTCCTGAAAAGTTTTTTTATAAGTTGTCTTTTTTTCTGATCTTCAAATGGGAAGAAACCCTTTGCACATTAGCCTATTTTTTAAAATGCTGAAGAGACCTTCATTTCTATTTCAAAAAAAAACTCCATTTCTCCCTCCAAATACTTTTTTATCCAAACTCCCTAATATGAGAGTATTTTTCAGGACCTTCATGAGAAAATTATAAATTAAAATGTGTCCAGACCTGATATTCCTCAAAAAAATGCCAAAAAATAAATAAAAGTTTAGACATGCATTTTTAGACAATCTTTGACAACAATGGACACCTAACTAATCTAAATTTCAAACTAAAATACCTTGAAAGGTGTCAGTTAAATAAGTGACTGCACTTACTTAGCCTGACCACCAGGTGGCAAACACCAGCTTTTGGGGTTCCTTTTCCTCTGTAAACAAGCTGCGCCATCAGGATCATTACTTAATGAATGGTGAATGTATGCACAGAAGCTCAACAACTAAATGCAACTCCTTCTAGGTGTGATCTAACCTCATCTACAGGTTTACATTCCTGCACCTTTCCTGGTGAACAGCCAGCAGTGCTGCTTTCCATTATCTCGGATTCTGTCAAAATACACTCACCAAAGGCTCCAAATCTAGTTTTTAAACTCATATAAAAAACTTAAAAGAAATTAATTTCACTTCTAATCTCACAAACTTTCTCTCATTTTAAAATGATATATAATTTACTACATATACAGAGTCAGTCTATAGTCCCTTGGGGAATCCAAAGAAGATGTCAGAGTGTCCGTATGGTGTCACAAAAAGAAAAAAAATAAGGATCTGTGCTGTCCAATGGCAGAGCTGGCCACGTGTAGCTGCTACCAGGCACCTGAAAAGTAGCTAATCCAAACTGAGTTGGGATAGTGTAAAAATATTGCAAATTTTGAAAACTAAAGCAGCATGTAGTTATATATTATTACCCAGTGTAGTGCCTATATCACCTAGCTAAGTTTCTACCCGACCTAATCTTATCTTTAATGACAGGGCTCCTGAAGGCCAGATGAACCTCTGCAGGTAGGCTAGCCAAAAACAGGCTGGATTTCTAAGGCTACCCAAGTGACCTCCAGGCAGCTTCCATACTAAGAGATACCCATACCAGCTGCAATGCCAGGAAGCACAAGACCATACAAGGAGTAAATGCAGATAAGATAATGCCTGAGTTCTGGGAAATCTCTTGCCTATTCCAGGGAAGGATATGAATATTCCTCCCCTTTATTACTTTACCCTCCCCCATTTATTTTACCCTGTATCTATGACTTTCCCACACCAACAAGTTGAGGAATTTGATTTGCGAATGTGCTTCTCCATTCTCTGGTCATTGAATAAACTTGTGCTGTTGGTACTCAGCATTTGGCCCTCGTTTTTAGCTTTCACAACACCCAAATGAAAAAGACCCTGCTCTGGGGATCTCCCCTTTTTTTAGGAGATAACAACATCTCAATAATTTTTGTTCCAATTAAAATTTTAAATGATATGTAGGATGTAATGGCATAATTATTTTAAAACACATACCTACAATGTTTTACTTTTTTAATGTGACTACTAGAAACTTATATCATTTATGTGCTTCATAATATATTTCTCTCGGACAATGCTAACACAGAAAATCTATCTTCCTTCCATATTCCATTCCTATTTCTGCCACTGATTTATTATTATTCTAGAAGTTACAACCCTTACTCATTTCTTAGAATCTTAAAGTTTCCATTTCTCAACATAGCTCACGAAACAAATACACATTATCTGTGTAACTGTACTATTGCAGAGTAGTTTTTTTAAAAACCTGAACCCGTTCTATCATCTGTATCACAGAATTATTTAAAGTACACTGTAAATGTTGGGTATTGTCATCGTTACTTTCCAACCACTAATGACTTAAAGAAGAAAACTCACCTAATGAGGACTTTTCTTACATTAGAAGGGGTGGAGAGAAGTTATTCAACAATTTCTGGTTCCTCCTTCATTTGGGTCAAGATCAGTTACAAATCAAAGCTGAGATTACTTACATTTCAAATGGTATCTCTGCTATACAATTAAAAAACACCCTCAGCAGTTTCCTTTAACAATTCCCTAAGCTACCACAATATTTTTTTATTTTTGGTAGTGCTGGGGACAGAACCCAGGGCCTTATGCATGCCAAGCAAATGCTCTACCACTGAACCATGTCCCCTATCACAACATATTTTGATTTATATAAGCCCAATTTATGCTGGACTTTTCATAAACATATTGAATTTATACAATGAAGTACACTTGATCCTTGCTTCTTTATCCAACATAGTTTTTCCCATCTAATTAAATCCTTCTTATAAAACTCAGGTGGCATATCTTTCATGCCAATGACACCATTTTTATCATATTGCCACCAATGACCCTTATTGCCTTCTCCCATAAATGTTGTTTTCAGTCTCTATCCAAACCTAAACCCAAGTTTAATTGCCCTTGCATGTCCCCTTAACATTCTTACTTACACACACCCCCACCACTGTAATCACAATAGCTACTTCCTTTCCATGAAAGAAATGTACATTCAGGAGATAATACGGCCTAAGAGAAATAAAGTCAGTTACTTGTTTTCTGTTGCTTTTATTTCAAGCATGATTCACAGAATGATGCTGTTAATGAATGCTGATATACATCAGATTCTGTGCTATAGAGGATTGCTCCAGCTTCTCCTATTAGAGAGGTTTTTCATGCATTTCACTCCCTCTTCACAATATGCATGCCTAGAACTTACCACTTCATACCTGGACTCCAGCAACAACTGTCCATCATGCTGACTACACTGAGTAGCTTTCATCTGGAATATTAGATACCACTACCAAATTAGTCTTCCCCCAAATACAGGATTTATCATGTCATTTTCTGCTCCATAATGTTTCTGAAGAGTCCTAGAGATGAAGTCAGATTTCCTCAGTCTGGTATTCCTCTACCCAGCAATGCCTACTGTCAATCCTCAAAACATAATACTCATCCAAGCTTATCTTGTCTCTGTTCAGTCTCAACTTGAAGAACCTTTCCAGACTTCCCTCCACCTGGAATGTGTTATCATTTCCTTAACCAAACCAAAATCTCAACCATGCTTTACTTATCCCCCAGAACCTAGTACCAAACTGCTTCAATCCTTGCTTCAAGAGAACAGGAAGTACAGGAGAAAAGACCAACTACAGAAAGCTCAGAATACAAGTACCAATGCTCGCTCTGGCATTTGTTTACTGGATTGTGTGACTTTGAACAAACAGACTGCTTTCCACGAGTATTATGTCGCTTAATCCTCATAACAATTCTAAGATAGGTATCATTCCCTATTACACAGATGAGAATACTTAAGCACAAGGAAATCTGTGAGAGTATTTATATAATAATGGCTCAATAAGTGCATGCGGGTGTGTCTGTTGAATTTCTTTCTAGGTCACTTATGGTGGATAGCTTTCAATTCTGGCACTAAATATCAGACTTGTTGCTACACATATCTAATCTCTTTCAGAGAAAAGTTTTGTGAAAGACATTGTCTACCAGTTCCTTTTTTATTCTTCCATACAGTTGTCACTTGAGTAAAAGTACTTTGTTTATTCCCTTCTATTTATGCCAATATACTACAGTATCTGACATACTCTAACCACTCACACCAAACCAAGCAAGATGAACTGATTTCACCTAAGGAATCAGAAGAGAGATGACTACACATATGGCAGATTGTTGAACATTTCCCGGAACAGATTACTTTCAGAGTACTCAGATTACGTTTCCCAACTTCCCATGCTGTTAAGTTACAATTATGTGAAAAATTCCTGCCAATGAAAAACAAATGTGCATGATTTATGTCACTTCCAGGCTGGTTCATTAAAACTCCCAAATATACCCCTCCAAAGCTTTGTCCCTTCCACCCTATCTGTTCACTATCTGTTCACAGCGACTGTCTTAGACTGTTATGTAAGCATGACCTGAACCTGACCTATGTTTAAACAAATACACATTCCGGGGGTCTATTTGTTACAGCAAATAGATTACTCTAATGAATACAAAATAGTAGGCCCTATTATAGGTTTGAATAAATATTTCTTGAGTAAGTTGTTAGCACAAATCTTTAGACAGTACTTACTGGCATAGTGGGGTACATTGGGAGCTGTATGAAAAAGCTTGTGTATTCCATGCCCACAGTAGCTTCGAACAACTGAAAATCCATTTGCTTGAGCATGCTTCTGAATAATATTTCCCAATTCTCTGTATCGAACACCAGGTTTCACTGAAAGAAAAAGAGAAGATTCAGGACAAAGAGTAGTAATAACCAACATTTTCTAAGCGATTCGTATCTATGTGCCAGGGACCTTTGTAAATACTTTATATGTCTTCATGCCTAAATTTACAAATGAGGAAACTAAGCCACACAGAGGCCACACAGTAAATAGCAAAGCTCTGATTCAAACCAAGAGCACCTGAAGTTCCTCCTCTAACGCCAGACAAACAGAACACCTTGGGTGCTAAAAGGGTAAGGACAGCACCATTTATTCTCTCTAATAACAGATATGGAACAACAGAATGGAAAATACATTTCCCTTTATAGGCTTTCCTAAGGTCAAGATCCATACTATTCTATTCCACTCTATTCTATTCTAAAAATCAGAGGAAATAAGGAAAGCAAGTGTACCAGAAGAAAAAGAAGTGTCCAAGAGTGTCCAAACTTGTCCCAAGTTTCATTCAGGTCAACTTCTGAAAGAAGTACTTCTCCCCTGGGCTGTTTCATTCTCTAACAGTGCTTCTCAAACTATTCATAATTGAATCTAGAAAAGGTCCCAGGGTACAGGTCCTAGGGTATACCTTTCACTATATACATACTGCCCTGTTTAATTTTTATAAATTTAGTAGTGCCTTAAGGGGAAAAGAAAAAATAATAATAAGTGGTTCTCATGTTAATAAGGCCATTCTGGCACTAAAACCCCAGGAGTGGGGCACTGCCAAATTTCTGGAACAATGAGGCAAATTCCAAGGGTCCTCTAACTCTTAGCCTACCTGATTTCCAAAGAAACATTCAGATGCAATCTACCTGCCCCCATGTAATTAATTTAACAGCTTAAGGAATCAGAATTTAATAATTTTACTTGCTCTTAACCATTCCAGCTTGATGTTTTCGGCAGAAGGAAGGTAACTTCTGATTTTGAGAAAACATGCTGACTTTCACAATGTTTTTCTTTCATTCCTATCCAGGTTCTCCAATCAGCCCTGGGTTGGAAAGCTGGGGGCTCATGCAACAAATTGCGCAGTACATAATAAAGAAAATCCCCATTCAGCAGTAATGACAGAAGGTGAGAGAGTCTTCCATAATTGTCAAACTTGAGCAATTTTGGTTCAGAGCGTGTTATCTGGAGACATATTTGGACATCACACAGGAGATGGTGGTATAACTGATATCTAGTGTGCAGACAGACACCAGAGATGCGGCTAAGCATCTTACAATGCACAGGACAAGCCCCCTGTCACAAAGCATTATCAGACCCAAAAATGTCTTTAATTCATACATTTAAACATACTACTCTAGAAAAGTTAATTTAACAACTTCACAAACTCGCTAGTACTCTACACTAGGGTGAAAAACAATTAGTATTTTTAAACTATGGGAACAAAACATATATAATATTGTTAATAGCACTTTCCAGAGTTCAAGAAATTTTTGTTCTTTCTTGACTATTGCTATCAAGACTAGTTTCTCACAGTTTCTTAAGTTCTAGTCATATGTCTTTTTGAAACAACACTGCAGCTTTCTGATTATTTCAATTACCTCACAGAGAAGAAAAAGGATATAAACACTGAATATATTATCTGACAGAAATCCTAAAAATTATTTAAAACTGAAGCTTCTACAAATGATAAGCACAGAAATTCTCATTTCACAATTCCACCTACTATATTAAAAGTTTTAAAATGATCAACAGTGAATTATAAATTTCTAAAACCTTCAGATATTGATACATGAAAATATTGTCTTTCATTTTCACACATCCAACATTATATAAATTAGTAAAAACTTCATCATCTTCCATGCCTGTTAAAGAGTAACTAAAAACGATAAAAATAACAAACCAATGTTATTACAGATAACTATCTATGTGTTAAATAACTCTGTCCTGTTCAATACTCTGAAGAAGTGGGGGAGTGGTAGCAATAATACACTGAATAATACAGTTCAAACACTATGGATTTTAACAGAAAACAATTTGTCCTCAAACTATCCTTTTATTAGCAATGTGTTAACAACTTCAACAAGACTTTCCTTTTCTTCTCCCATTCCCAGAAAGTACTGAGTAAACCAAAAAAAGGATAAGCTGCTGTCATGAAGACACCATGGAAAAGATCCTACAGATATGCACATATTTCCACTCAGTACTACAACAGAAAGATATCTAGAGACCACCAAAATCCAGTAGGAGAATAGTTACAGAAATTTAGATACTGTGAAATATAATCTGTATCTATTAAAAGAACGGGGTGGCAGGTGCAGTGGCACACGCCTGTAATCCCAGAGGCTCGGGAGACTGAGTCAGGAGAATCACAAGGGTTCAAAGCCAGCCTTAGCAATGGTGAGATGCTAAGCAACTCACTGAGGCCCTGTCTCTAAATAAAATAGAAAACAGGGCTGGGGATGGGACTCAGCGATTGAGGCCCCCGAGTTCAATCCCCAATACCAAAAAAAAAGAAAAATGGGGTAGATCTGCTACTTTAAAAGATCCCTAAGATTTAACTGAACAACTGTCAAATTATAGAAAATTACAAATATTATGATTCCATTTAACCTAATTAAACCCATACACATATCTATATGTCAAGACATAGAAGAGAGGGGAGAAAAACCTAAATGTTAACAATGGATACCTCTAGATAGAAAAGAGATGAAAAGTGAAGTGGGGAGGCAAATGCAAAGAAGGATCATTCATTCTCCTCACAAAATCGTCAGGCTTGTTTCAATTTTCTGTAATAGAAACTAATACTAATGTAGTTGAAAGAAAAAAAAGTAGAAATAAAAACTACACAAAAGAATCACCCACACACTCCTCTTTTAAAAGAAAAAAATATCAGAAGACACAGAGGATCATAAGTAATCACCTGGTCCATTTGCATCAAGACATTCCCACATCATCTTTAAACACATTAACCATTAAACACTAAGCTAAGTCAGGTAGGGCAATGGAAAAGCTGTTAGGTACAAGAAACGCACAACAATGCAGTGATAAAATGCGTCACTGGCAAAGCAGTGCCAATGGGGCCCAGCACTGAAGCTGACCTGCATCGATGGCTTGCATAAGACACTCGTATGTGGTCTGAACTAATTTCCGTGCTCCCTCATCCACATCTCCAACAAAAAAGGTCTCATTCAGGTCCCCATGATAACCATTGCGATAAAGAGTGATGTCCACTGCAAAAAAAAATGTGTAAATATTAAGACATATTTATTTTCATTCCACAATAGAACTTAGTTTTTCCAATGTGACAGCATCAAGTAATTTAATGGAAAAGATGACTTTTGCATTGTCAAATTAGACACCAGTGAATGTGTAGTTACTCCCTAACAAAAATTCCTTGAGGGTAATTAAACTAAACTCACTGTGGAAAACAGATATACGGCTTACAGCACAAGCCAGATGGTGGGTTTTTATATTCTTATAGTAATTAGATAATTTGTGGCAGAGGAAAAAGTTATATGGGATACAATCATGCAAGATAAACATCCAGGGTTAGTAACATTAAACTGAGGACTCTGGTAAATTTTTCCATTAAATAAAAAATGCTATTTTCACTTGTCATCTTTAATGAGTTTCTTCCTTCTCCTAAAAAAAAAAAAAAATATATGTAAATAGCAAAACTTAAGATAATCTCTACACCCCAATACTCTCTTGACCACCACCCCGCCACAGGACTGAGGATAGAACCCAGGGCCTTGGGTGTCCTATGCAAATGCTCTACCACTGAGCTAAACTCCCAACCTTTTTAATTAATTAATCTTTCATTTATTTGTGAATACTCATCCTTCTCTTCATTTCCATGCTGTAAGAACACAGATTACTAATATGTCACTATCGTAACATAAATGACTATCTAGAGAACATATTGAATGTACATTTTTACTGTGGATTTCAACCAATCTCCAACATCACAGTACAGGTGTTTCAACTCCAGCACAAAGTACACATGTATAAAAAAATCTCACACATTTTACACATAATAAAAATAGCAAGTTTTACATAAAAACAGATGCAAAATCTGTGGAACTTTATAAACACATCATCTAACTAAAGCAATAACAACCATAATAAAAATATTATCACAATTAAATCTCTATTCTCATTCTTGACCAGCATCACAGTTGGTCTATTCTGTGCAGTCTTCAACCCTGGGACTCATGTTTCCTTGGATTCCTTTAATATCCTAAACAGAATAATTTCATTAATACTAAAAGTACCATCAAGGAGATGCTTCTTCATTAACACTTATTTAATCCCAGAGGAAAATGCCTTTGGAGCTTCTTCTCTACACCTGCAGCTTCCTAAGATAACACAACACAGAGGTCCTTAAAGGCACTCCATTCAAGTAAGGCACTTCTGTGAAATTTTTAGCTTTTTTTTTAAAGTCTTCATTTATTACTAAGGATTTTTCTTACCTGTTAAGAAAGCCTATTCTGATCTCTTAAAACCCACTGAGGGACTTAAATGTAAAAACTGCACTATACTCAACACTGCTTCCATATTACACTGACATCTGTCACTTATTTACCAGTCACATATGAATTAAGCACCAAACAAATGCATAATATAAATATTTAAGACACATCTAATATGATGTGTTTTAAAAGAACATGCACAAAATTGTAAAAAAAAAAAAAAAGAGGCTTCCACAGACTTTCAAATAATACTAAGTTTTAAACAGGAAAAAGCATAAATATAGAAAGCAAGTCAAGAAAACAAAACTCACACTAACATATTTCTTACCATTAACAATATCACCTTCTTGCAAAGGTCGTCTGTCTGGAATTCCATGGCAAATGACTTCATTCACTGAAGTACAACAAGACTTTGGGAAATTATAGTAATTCAGGGGAGAAGGATAGCAATTTCTTGCAATGCATGCCTATAATACATTAAAATAAAATAAAATAGTTTGGAATGTGCAAAGAGGAAAAATCTGCATGCATAAGATTTTAAAAGGGCTGGGGATGTGGCTCAAGCGGTAGCGCGCTTGCCTGGCATGCGTGCGGCCCGGGTTCAATCCTCAGCACCACAACAAACAAAGATGCTGTGTCCGCCGAGAACTAAAAAATAAATATTAAAAAAATTCTCGCTCTCTCCCTCTCTCACTCTCTCTTTAAAAAAAAAAAAGATTTTAAAATCTGAAGTTGGACAAATGCTAATGTAAATAACTTATTTAATATTTTATCTTTAAAACAGTAGTGGATATTATGTCTTCCTTTTAAATGAGATCACACAATGTTGCCCAGGTTGTCCTGAATTCACAGGCTCAAGTGATCTTCCTGTCTCAGCCTCTCGAGAAGCTGTGACTATGCCCCACCATGCCTGGCCGGTGGATATAATTTTAAAGAGCATACAACAAGTTTTATGCCAGTCAGATATGCTGTATGCAAACCAGCTTTATTGGTACTTGTGTAAAGAAAAACCAAATTCACATTCTACAAATATATACAATTGCTACTATGTGAAGACTCTACTTTAGAATTTACTCCTTGTGAAAAAAATATTTAAAATAAGTAATAAGTATTTTTATGTGATTACAATTTCTTATATAGAAATAAGCCTCTATCCCTATGACCAAAAAATGAATAATAGTGTAATTAAGAAATGATAAACAACTCCCTGAGACATTTTCACCATTCACTACATTCATTTCATTTTCATTGTTTACTTCGTACCAGTGAACAACAAGAAATCTTAGAAAATGGTCTGGTTTCCAAAACAAATTTTACCATGGATGTTTTTACACAATCGTAATCACAGCATACATCATTTGTTTCCATACTGACACACAAGTCTTCAAGCTAATAATTTTCTAATACTTGCATAAAATATCATTTGTGGAATATATCATAATTTTACCAGAAATTCTACCATTATTGGAAATCTAAATAAACTTAAAATTTTCTCAATTATAAAAAAAAAAGCTTACAACTAATAACTACATCCCTTTGGCTTTTCCCTTATTTAAAATATGCTTCTATATTTCACAGAGCATTTTAAATAGCAGTTTAGAGAATAATGAATTCAGAACATTCTGACTGAAAATGCCAACTCCATCATCATTTACAAGTTGTATAACCTTGGACAACTTAATTAACCTCTCTCCTCAGTTTACTTTTCTATAAAATAGAGATGATAACAGCATTTACCTCAAAGGGCTATTGGGGAGATTAAATGAGTTTATTTGAAAGAAAATACTTTTTAGGAGTTCCTGGCTCACAAGAAGCCCTTAAAATGCTTAATGCATACTAGACATTTTATGCTAACATACGTAACAATAGCCCAAAATCAAGATATAAAAATCTGAATAAAAATATTTATAAACATCTTATAAACATATTATCAAATTCTTTCACAAAGGTTGTCTCCATTTATAATATCATCACCAAGTAAAAAGAGTACCAGAGTACCAATTTCATCCTCACCACACTATAATAAATATTAACATCTTTAAAATACTTACCATAAATTTACTATGTCTTTATAATTCACATTAATCTGATTACCGGAATAATTTTAATACACATTCCATGTTTTAACTGGACAACACTTCTTTTATGAACAATTTAATCATATAATGCACGCACATACCTACTAGATTAAGGTCTCTCTGACAGGCAATTTTTATTTAAAAGAAAAAAAAAGATCCCTGTATCATATTTACTACAAATACTTATCTGTTTGTTGCCTTTTTTTGCAAGATATAAAAGACAATATTGATTTCAACCAATCTAGCTTCAGAAGTCATATTGTTCATGTCAGAATATTGGGTGTAAGACATTTAAAAACATTGATAAAATTTATCATTTTGTAAAAGCACTACTGAAATGCTGAGGCTTCTAAAATACCATATTTCAAGCTCATCTCAGACCTCAGTACAACAAATACAGTCATTCATCTGCATCAATGGGGGACTAATTCTAAGATAAGCCCGCACCTAATGGGTACCGAAATCTGTAGATGCTCAAGTTGTTTATATAAATAGTGTAGAGTTTGCATATAACTCACAAAAATCCTCCCACACACTTTAAATCATCTCTACATTACTTATAATACTAATACAATGTAAATGTTACATGAATAGTTATTACACTGCATTGTTCAGGAAATAATGACAAAGAAAAAGATCCGTACATGTTCAATACAGATGCCATTTTTTCCCCAAATATTTTCAATCCAGAGTTAGTTGAAACTATGGATGCCCATGATCCAGAAGGCAGACTTAAACACTGGCATAATGATTGCTGAATGCTTTCTATATTTGAAACAAAGCAAAAATTAGCTTTCAACTCAGCTTAATAAGGTTATTGTAGACATTCTGAACATAAGTCAAAAACACCTAATAATGTCATTTCCCCCCCCCCACCCCCAAGTGCTGGGAATCAAATCCTGGGCTTCACACATGCTAGCATGTGCTTTACTATTGAGCTACATCCCAAATTCTAAAAGTTTTCCAAAATAAAAAAAAGTAAGGTTCTTACTAAGTGTACAGCATGATCTATTTCTTCAGTAGTTACACCTGGTTTAATCATCCCAGCAGCAATATCCAGCACTTCTCTAGCAAGCTGTAAAAGAGGAACACTTGGTACATTGAAAGAGAAATTTAAAAAAAAAAAAAAAATAGAAATCTGTATCCTTTGTACTATCTTAGATGTTTTTGGGAAAACTGATGAAATGAATTTCCCATTCAATATAACTTTATATAAAATATAAAAATATTTAATATAAAGATGCAAACAAATTTATATAAAAATTGAGCTTATTTACTAAGTAAGCTTGACTGATTTCTACATGAAAATGTACATTCTAGGTTTATCTGAACAATAATCAACTGACAGAGGTTGGGTCTTCTCACACTTCTATAATGAAGAAGGGTGGAGGGAAATAAAATAGACAAATGAATTTCCTCTAACAATCTTAGTAACTAAGTAAAAGGAATATGAATTTCTCCAGATTATCAAAACAAAGTAGTATCAAACGACTTTTAAAGTGCTGCATAAAAACCTAAATAAACACTATCAATGTATCAATTATTTTTCTTTAGAAAAATATAAATATGCGATTTTACCTTGTTAATATCAACCACTATCATACATCATAGGTATTTCACAATAGGACCTTTAGTTTATCTTGTCTTAGGACATTAGTGAAAATAAAATGACAAAAACCTAGTTCTTAAAACACACACACACACACACACACACACAGAATATAGAGAAAAAAAAATTGCAAGCAAATATAGATTACTTGCCATACTAATTTTCATACTATTTAAATAGAGATTAACTGTTGTATTAAATGATACAGTAGCAATAGTTTAATGAAAAGTGTGGCTAAGTCAGTCTTAACAAAGTAATAATATTGGAGACCTTTATAAATCCAGCAAATCACTGACTTCCTGTCCAAGCAATGCTCAAACATATCTTACCCTAAAGGGAAAAAATAATTCTTACCCTACATACAAGTCGCATCCCTTCTATGTCTTCAGATGAGAGTAATTTAATTTGAGAAGTACCTTTAAGAGCCTGTTCAGATTCAGACATTCCTGTAACAAAAAAAATAAGTAAAATTAAAATGAATAGAAAGACGTAGAATTCATTAGCATAATAATAGTCAAGTCTTCCTAAATCACACAATATTTCATTTTGAGAGGTACAGGTTAATTTATTTAAAAGACATTTTTTAATATGTAAAAGCAATTTGCTAAACAAATTGATGAATTCTACAGAATAAATTTTCAGATATATTAGAAATCAGTCAATATTTATAGAGTACTTATTATATGCCAGGCAGTGTGCTAATAAGCTCAGTAAACAATTCACATTTGGATAATAACATACAATTTACAAATTGCTTTCATGATCATTGTCTCATGAAGCAGTTATATACAAACAATTGATGAATCAATTACACTATTTTTCTGAAACAAAAACCCAAGTCAATGTTTTTTAAACTGTAGTTTTTGATCTTTCAGTGGGCTATAAGTACTTTTTTGAAAGTGAAAAAGGGAATAAAAATTACTAGGTTCTATTACACAGACTAAGGTAAGTGCTGCTGTGAAATGTTTGACTGCTAACTTATGTATACATACCTGGACCAATCATGATATAAAATTCATTTCTCACTCTGGGTCACAATCAAAAAGTCTGAAAACTTTATCGCCCTAGTAGACTTCACTAATAAAATTTGTCTAATTCAAGTTTCACATATATTTAAAAGAAACAGACATTATAGCAATTATTTCAAAATTCTGAAAAAATAATGTAATGAATGAATTACCAGCCAATCTTGTTTATAAGCACTAGTGAGAAAAACTCCAAATACTGCAAACAGAATTTGAAAGAAAGAAAGAGGGGGGGGAGGGAGGGAGGGAGGGAAGGAAGGAAGGAAGGAAGAAAGGAAGGAAGCAAGCCAGCCAGCCAGCCAGCCAGCCAGCCCGCCCCAACTTAAGGGAGATTCATACCAAAAAGGCTGAGATAGTTCAGTATTAGCAATTCTATTAATCTAATTCATCAAAGACAGATTAAGGAAAGAAAAATAAATGACCATCTAGAAGATAATTCTGATAACATGGCCAGCTACCATCTTATTATGACAAATAAATCTCTGGCCAAGAACCATCCTTACAGAATGCCCACTATCAACACTATTATTTAAGACTGTTCTGGTGATACTAGCAGATTTGAGAGAAAGAAATAAGACATATGAAATGAAAAAGAAAGGACAAAATCTTTTAACAATTTCAGACATGATTACATATCCCTAGAACAAATGAATCATCTGAAAAATTACTAATAATAAAAATTCAGCAAGTTGACACACTGTATAGCGAATATATCAAAATCAGGAACTTTCCCATATACAAACAAAAGCTAAAAAATACAAAACATACTATTCACCCAAAAAAATAAAAATTAATTAATTAATTAAAAAACACTTTAAAATGCTGAGCTTGCTTACAGGTGCACACCTGTAATCTCAGCAACTCTGGAGGCTGAGGCATGAGATCACAAATTCAAGTCCAATCTTAGCCATTTACCAAGACCTTGTCTCAAAATCAAAAATAAAAAGAGCCAAGTATATAGCTCAATAATACAGCACCCCTGGGTTCAATTCCCAGTATCACAAAAATAAACAAATAACTAAAGTACCCAGAATTTTCAATAAAAGCCCTACAGGAAGAAAATCTGAAAATATCATCAAAAAACATAAGAGGTAACAAGTAATACAGGAAAAAAAATACCCTGTTCTTAGATAGAAGGCTCTATATTGTCAAGGTATAAATTCTTCTAAAATTAATGTACTAATTTTAATACTACCCCATTAAAAATTACAAGATATTTTTAGAAATCAAGCTGATTATAAATTTTACATAGAAAAACAAACATACAAGAATGGCCAGAAAAATGCTCAAAAAGAAGAAAGGTAGGGGCAACAAGGCCTACCAAACATGAATACGTTATGTAGCTACAACACTTAGAGTTTGTCAATGGTACGTAATTAGACAAATGGGTCAATGAAGCATAACAGAATCAAAAACAAACCCCTAAACATGTGAGAATTAAAGGATGCATTTCAAATATAATACAGGTTACATTTATTTTACTATTTAAGAATGTTTCGTTTATCACAAATGTAGATAGTCAATTGGTGAAAAAATTAACACATCAAAGGAGTATTTTCCTTAACAAAACAATTATAAATGAGGTTAAAAAAATAAAAGTAATGAAACGGGAAAAGGGATAAAGATATGAATACACAGTTCAAAAGGAAAAAAATACAAATAACTGAACATATGAAAAGAATCTTCCTCATAATTTAAAAATGCAAACTAAAATAATAGCAAACTATCAATTTCATCTTTCAGATTAGCAAAGATCATCACGCTTGATTACCCAATGTAAGAGAAAAGAGACTCCGGTGTTTTTTAAATGGGAATACTAATTGGCAAAAAGCTCTGAAATTTTTAAGATCCCTCCAAATAAAAAATGTATGTATCCTTTGATCTAAAACTATTTTACTTTAGGCAATTAACCTACAGAAATACTATCACATGTGGACAAAGATGTAAACACAAGAATAGTTACTACAGTCAAATAGGTAGAAGCAAAAACTTGGAAATAATCTAAACATTGATTAGTAGGGGCCTGCTTTAATAAATTATAACATATCCACACACTGAAATCCTTACACACTAAAATGAAAGCAGTGGCTTTATATGGACTCACATGAAGTATTTCCAAGATACCTTAACATATTAGAAAGCATAAAAAGGTAAAAGGATGTACATGATGTATTTCTTTTTTGTTTATCAGTGGGTAAAAAGGTTAATGTACACATACACAGATTATCTTGGATAATTCTACAAGAAAACGGTAAACAGTGGCTACCTTTAAAGAGTAGAACTTACTTTTTACTGCATAACATTTTATTCTGTTAGAATTTATCTTTTCTACACATATTTTTAAAAATATAAACTAGTATTATATTCATAATATTAAATAGAGAATAATTAAGTCACACATCCTCAGCAGTATTCTATAATTCAGACTGTCTTTTCCTTCAATGGGTTTAACTGAATTTTAGAATTATATAGAGAAGAACTTAACATAGTTCCCTACATCTTAAAGAACAAAGCAAAGGCAGCTTGGCTTATATTAAACCATGTGAAATTGCTGATATGGAACTATTTTTGACACACATAAAAACTTCAATAATTTCACATAGTCCAATTTTAGTTATATTGTACAAGCCTTAAGGTCAGAGACTACTCCACTGATCTGTGCTGCAAATTACTCTGGATGTCTATCAGTATCTATAAAATAGAGAAGACAACAGAACCTACCTCAGGAATGTTGAAAGTATTAAATGGAGTAACACGTGCAAAGAACTTAGCACAGTGCCTGACATACAGTTAAGCAAAAATAAATATAAGTTACTATTACAAAATCAGAAACAACACCATCACCATTATCACCACGATTACTATTTCTTATTGTTACAGTCTTTAGTCAACCTGAGGTCTCCACAATCTGTTTCTGCCTTAACTTAGGTAGAAGGACATATTAAATAAAATCTAAACTATTCTTTTCTTCCATCTAGAAACTGGTATAACCCACAAAATACAGTATTATTCTGTGTGTAGTCTTTAGCAGTTACATAAACAATGTTTTCTGAACTGCATAGATTTCTAGTGGTGGCAAAGAATTTTTAATTCTCTTAAATGATCTACTATGGCTTGAAAAAGCAATGTTTAGGGCCCGGGGATGTAGTTCAATGGTAGAGTGCTTGTGAAAGGCCCTGGGTTTGATCCCCAGCACACACACACCACACACACACACACACACACACACCACACACACACACACACACAGAAAAAAAATGTTTTGTTTAACAGTAATGTTAACACTTATTAGAAATACAGCATTAAAAACTCTCTATAAGAAAAGCACTCCTTCCTTTGCAGTAGTCATCAAGCCCACAACCTGAAAAATGAAAAACCAGCACAGAACTTACCTAAGGGATGATCAGCATAATCCGGTCTTTGAATATAACTTGGCACTGGCCTTGTTGGCATCTAAAAACATCAAAGAAGTTAGTTAAAGCATATTACCTAGAAAATAAAACTGGAAAAACATTATTAAGTTCAAGCAAAAGTTTTTAAATGAAAATATCTTTAAGTGACATCTTAATTATCATATCTACTTTGTTAAGACTAAGGTTCACTTGCTTAGTGTTAACGCTACCCCCTTTCACAGATATTTAAGAATGGGGAAAGTGGCCAAGGCTACCAATGATTTAAGATTAGATACAGACCACAAGTTACCATGTTGTTCCAAACAAACTCATAAGCTGACAGTGACAATAAAATAATGTCTCAAAGTAAACATATGCTTATATGTTCCTAGTTATTAGCTCTGGGAAGTAGGATTAAAGACTTTCTTATATATTTAATATTTTTCAGATTTAAAAAAAATTAATAAAATCTCTTAATAATAGAAAATCATCAGGGCTGGGGATGTGGCTCAAGCAGTAGCGCGCTCGCTTGGCATGCGTGCGGCCTGGATTCGATCCTCAGCACCACATACAAATAAAGATATTGTGTCTGCCAAAAACTAAAAATATTAAAAAAAATTCTCTCTCTAAAAAAAAAACAGAAAATCATCAATAAAAATAATTTAAATATCTGAAGATAGCAAACAGATTTCAACTTAAATGAATTCCTATATTAAAACTCCACAGAAGGGGGCTGGAGTTATGGCCCAATTGGCAAAAAGCTCTGAAATTTTTAAGATCCCTCCAAATAAAAATGTATGTATCCTTTGATCTATCAAGTGTAAGGCACTGGGTTTGATCCTCAGCACCACATAAAAATAAAATTAAGACATTGTGTCCATCTACTATTTAAAAAATAAAAAATAAAAACCTCTACAGACAGGATACAAATGGCAGAAAAGCTGCAGCTATTAAGGTAGGAATATATTATATTTTAAAATATTTTAGAAAAGTATAAATATACACTACTTATAGTGCCAGCCAGAAAATATTAAGTCTACCTTACCCTACTCTTTTTTTAAATTAATATCTTTAGTCCTTTTCATCTAATTTTTCTCCACTTCCTCCAATTATCCCAACTAGCTCCCAAATAATGTACCATAAGAGCTAAACAGTTAGAAAACAAGTTCCTTTGTAAACTTAATTCTGTCTACATAGTTAACTGTTGTAATACAAAATTATAACTACTACTTCTAGGACACTGAAATTGGTTTAAAACAACGTTGAATTCTTATTACCTTAGTTACTCACCAGTGGATAATGTGGTCTGAGTTTACCAGTATATCGATAACCTGCCCAGGGGTCAGTGTTTATATCACCTTCTACAGTCCAGGAAGACACTTCCCGCTTTGCCTTTTCATCTTCTGGGAGACAGACAGATGGAAAGACATGAAAGGTACAGGAAGGAGAAAGAAAGGAAAGCTTAGAGACCAAGTTCATGAGGAGCACATATTTCAATTCTCTCTTGTTTACAAAACAAGCCAGAGCAACTCAGGAGGCTGAGGCAAAGGATCACAAGTTCAAAGCCAGCAACAGCAACCAAGAGAGGGCCTAAGGAACTCAGTGAGAATCTGTCTCAAAATAAAAAATAAAAAAGGGCTGGATATGTGGCTCAGTGGTTAAGCACCTCTGGGTTCAATCCCTGATACCAAAAAAAAAAAAATTATGACCATCATTTGCCTCTTTTTAGAAGGGTTTCTAAAGGAGGCAGGAGAGACAAAGGGAAGGAAATAATCTGTTTGAAGTTACCAAATTTTAGTAGAAAACTTAAGAATCATATACACACCTAATAATGTGATTTGTTAATATATAATGCTGTGTATAATGAAATGCACCTAAGAATCCTTTTCAAACAGAGTAGAGAGATCCTCTATAGTATCTCATTTCAGCAGACTAGAGGCACCTCTTATCCATTAAGCAAAATGAAGACGCTAACCCTGGGACTTGAAATACCAGGAATTCAAGTCACTCCTAGACCAAGAATTGACCCATACACTTCCCGTTACACACAGATCTTTCCCTGATTACTGTCATGTATCACAGGCTTTGAAATTCAGGTTTCATTAGAAGTATATAAGAAATTGAAGGATATCTAAGTTAGTTCCCCAGTTTGACTATTGTGAATTGTGCTGTTATAAATATTGATGTGGCTGTGTCACTGTAGCATGCTGTTTTTAAGTCCTTGGGGTATAGATAAAGGAGTGGAATAGCTGGATCAAATGGTGGTTCCATTCCAAGTTTTCTAAGGAATCACCATACTGCTTTCCAGATTGGCTGTACCGATTTGCAGTGCCACTAGCAATGTATGAGTGTGCCTTTTCCCCCACATCCTTGCCAACATTTACTGTTGCTTGTATTCTTGATAACTGCCATTCTGACTGAAGTAAGATGAAATCTTAAGAGTAATTCTGATTTGCATTTCTCTAATTACTAGAGATGTTGAACATTTTTTCATATATTTGTTGATCGACTGTATATCTTCTTCTGAGAAGTGTCTGTTCAGCTCCTCAGCATATTTATTGATTGTGTTGTTTCACAATGAAATATTACTCTGCATTAAAAGAGAATAAAATTACGGCATCTGCAGGTAAATGGATGGAGTTAGAGAATATCATGCTAAGGGAAGTAAGCTCCCAAAAAACCAAAGGCTGAATGTTTTCTCTGACAAGTGGAGGCTAATCCATAATGGGAGGACCATAGGATGAGTGGAGGAACTTTGGATGGGCCAAAGATGGACATCATTACCCTAGGTACATGTGTGCTTGCACAAATGGTGTGATCCTACTTTATGTACAACCAGAGAAGTAAAAACAATGGTGCTCCATCTTGTACAATGAATCGAAGAGCATTCTGCTGTCATGCATAACTGATTAGAATAAATAAATAGATAGATAAATAAATAAAATGGTAATTTACATTGTGTGCATTTCACCTAATAAAAAATTATAGCTTGCATTTTTATAAGAACTCATGTGTATAATGGCATCATCAAAATTATTTTTGTTTTTTAATGAAGCAAAAAATGTATATAATGTGTTTTTAGTGCATATCAATAACAGTAGCTATTTTGTGAAAAAAAAAAAAAAGAATAAAAAGAAGAAATAGTAGTAGTAGTAGATGAGAAAAATAAACTTCCCTCCTTAAAAAATCTATTCAAAATATAAAATGATGCATGAGGCCCTGGGTTCAATTCCCTGAATAAACAGATAAATAAATAAATAAACATGAAAAGAGGGAGAGCAGGGTCTGGGGATGTGGATCAGTGGTAAAGTGTTCACCTAGCATGCATGAGGCCCTGGGTTCAATCCCCAGTGCCAAAAAAAAAAAAAAATAGGAGAGTAGAAGGAATCATGATGTTAAGCTAAAGAAGATCTTAAAGGATCTAATTTCCTCCTTTTGCAAACCAGGAAACTAAGATGTATTTCATATGGGCAGTGAGGCAAGAATACAGGTGCTCAATCCAATAATTCTCCAGAGAGCAAGGGGTCACCTGTGGGATGAAGGCCCTTTGAGGCACAACTGACAAGAATGCAAAAACATAGTCATTTTAAAAAATAAATAAACTTTTTTTAAAAAAACACAGCCAATCCATCCATATTACTTTGAAAGAGAATACATTTATACTAATCACATAAGCAGAAGAAAAGAAGATTTTATTATGCAACTAATTTTAAATACCTTTCTCCTCTCCAGAATTCAAGAAACCAATGTAAATATTAATAACAGAACAACAAATATTTATCATCCCAGAATAAAAATGGACTCAATTCATTGTCACTTGGATTAAACATTATAGATAATTGTTCAAAATGCAGGCCAACTAATGACTGCATCAGCTGTCTTATCAAGTGATTTTTGCCGGAAACATGCACCTCAAGAATAATTTTCTCCTAAATCCTAAGACAGAATATCAATCAAGATTCAGGCTTTCTTTAACATACTTCTGGGGAGGAAGCAGAAAGAAGGGAAATATGTAAAATTTTTCAAAGCTTCCTGCTGATCTGAATTTCTCCCCCTTCCACATTCTATTTTCAAAAAAGAACTGAAAGCAGACTTCGAACAACATCTACACAAATCAGGCTGAAATATGGCAATTTCTTTTTTAATCTCGAAGCATAACTTACTTAAGGTTTTTACACTTGAAAAGTTAAGTTTATATTTTGGAGTCAATCTGATCTCAGCCCTGATGCTAGCTAGACACATCGCAGATACTCATTAAATCTGAACTGAGCTGAGACTGGTAGCAAAACTGTATGATAATTTGTTTGTTTGTTTGTTTGTTTAATGACTGTGAAAGCACAGGATGCTATTAACAAAACCTATAAGCTTTCTTTCAAACATCTCAAGGCAATAGGCCCAGGGAACACAAAGTAGTGCCAATGAGATATCTGATTCATGCAAGGTCTGACCCAAAGTATACCACATCCAGGCTTTGTTCTGTAAAAGGTTCCATCAGGATGCCTCATCCAGTTAGTTGACATAAAATAACCATACATGTATAAGCTTTCTTTAGAATGGGATTTTTGATCAAAATTCTGACTCAGTTCTTCACAGATTTGGCATGGACTTGCTTGTATCTAGGCCTCACAACAAACCTGATTCCAGCATTCTGGAGATGAGGCTCACAGTAATCCATGGTCACAAAGATTGGTGAAACCAGTTCTGAAACATTATATAACTTTCTCTCTACAAGCCCAAAACTCAAGCATGCTAGTGTGGAAGGTTAGGATAGAAGAAAAAAGTATTATTGAGTTATTTTTTTAAATAGGGTTTCTAGTATCATATTTTAGGTGGTCAAATTCTTCCACCTTTTAATTCAGAAAAATGAGAGGCAAACATACTGAACAGTTTTTTTGTTTGTTTGTTTGTTTTTAATACTGAGGATTGAACCAGAGGTGTTTTACAGTTGAGCTAAATCGCCAGTCCTTTTCATTTTGAGACAGTTTTGCTAAGGTTGTTGAGGCTGGCCTCAAACTTGTAAACTTTCTGCCTCAGCCTCTCAAGTCACTGGGAGTACACATGTGTGCCAATGTATCTGGCTAAAGTACAGTTTAGAGATGTGAAGTTCTACAACTTTTATAGATTAGATTAAAAGTAACTTCTCTTAAGTTTACTCTGGTAGGGCTGAGGTTGTGGCTCAGAGGTAGAGCGCTTGTCTAGCATGTGTGAGGCACTGGGTTCGATCCTGAGCACCACATAAAATAAAAAATAAAGATATTGTGTCCACCTGTAACTAAAAAATAAATATTTTCTTAAAAAGTTTACTCTAGTAGAAGATAACATTATAGAAAATGCACACACAAACATCAGCAATATATCTTTGAACTAAGGGCTTGGCTTAGTTCAAAGATATATTGACTGGTCCTCTCTGATACACAAAAAAATATATTCTGTGCCTGAGTCACTTACTTAACTCACATTTGAAAGTTTGCTAAGCCCACTGAAAAAAACTGAGCTTCCACAATTAATACAACCCTGGGTCCAGATGTTTTACTGGTGAATTCCATCAAACATTTAAGAAGAAATAATGCCAAGTCGACATAATCTCTTTCAGAAAAAAGGAGGAAATATTTCCCATTTTGTGAGACCAGAATTGCTCAAATACCAAAATCAGTTAAAGATATTAAAAGCAAATTGTGGACTAAAATTCAACATGAACTTAGATATAAAACAGGTATCTTTATTCAGAAACCAACATACAGCCTAGCATGATTGTGCACGCTTATAATCCCAACACTTTTTCACTGATTCTTTTCTCAATGCCTCCTGAGCTCTAGAGATCACAGTTTCCCACCGTTCCCTCCTCCAGGAGAGTCAACTACAACTGCATACCTGAGGTCAATTTGTTAAGATGTGAAAGATACAGGTCTGGCCAGCTGAGAGCTATCTCCAACCAACACAGCCAAAGCGGATTGAGAACACTGGGCACATCCACTGAAGAAAACTACCCTGAAAGGCGTTACCTAAATGATGGCACCATATTAAATACCAGAAGTATAAGTAAACTCTCAACAGCTTATGTCCAATGCTGCAATAATTATGTTCTTTTTTATGTAGGGAACACCTGCTGTTTAGTCCCCTGTGGTGAAGGGCAAAATAACTCCACTCTTAGAAATCCAGTACTGATGAAATGGGTATACTTCAATCATTTAGCAAACCTCAGGATAGAGAACCATTCTAAGCTTTTTTACTACATACTATTTAACTTCAGCACTTTATACTTCCCTATGCTTTAACTTCCTAAGCATAAAATTTCAATAACTGGCTCAAAGAAATCTTCAAAATTTCTATTACATTATAATTCAGTATGTAAGAATGAAAACCATTAAATGACCTTATTTAAACTTTCTCTATACTTTGAGGTAACACATCCAAATCAACAAACCCTGCCTTTTGTACTTTGACAAACTTTCATGTATTCATATCATTTTCCCTCACTCTAACCACATTTCCTCCCTAAACAGTCTAGGATTTCCATTAAACATAGTCACTTTATACAACCAAAAAAAATATCTACCTTTTTTAAATTTTTATTTCCTTTTCCTTCAGAGATGATTTGGCTGACCTCAGATTTTGGTAAAAATAATCTATCAAACTCCACTAAATAACTAACTCCTAAAAAAACACATGGAAATGAACACAAGATCAGTAAATTAAAACAAAAACCTATACCAAGAATTATGTGCCACCTGCCAAGCCTTCATCCATCAGGACACAATGATGTAAAAGCCCTTGTCTGTTCCAAAGTAATTATGATGGGGCCATCTTAAACCAGCCACACCAATCACATAAATCTATGAGTAGATGAAGCAGAAAGCCTATGTGAATAGCAGGTATATCAGTATAGCTAACAGCAAGAGCTGAAAAGCAGGCAATAGTTTTATTTTGTGGTGTCACATGAAGTAACTTCAAAAGTAAAATTAAATATCAGGCTATGAATAATAGCAGTAAAAAGAAGTAAAAAAAGCATAGTCATCCCTCAGTATCCCCAGGGGGTTGGTTCAAGGACACCCCTCACCCAGATGCTCCATTCTCTACTATGAAATGATGTAGTATTTGCATATAGCTTCTATACCTCTTCTCATATACTTTATATTATTTGTAGATTACTTACAATATCTAATACTATGTAAATGGTGTATAAACAGTTATACTGTATCGTTTAGAAAATGACCAAAAAAAGTACATGCTCAATAGATACATTTTTTTAATACTTTCAATATGCAGTTGGTTGAATCTGTGGATATGGAACATACACAGACATGAACCTCAAAGATAATGAAGGCTGACTGTACTATAACTCTCTTGAGTAGAAAAGCAATATGAACTAAAATTAAACAAAAGCAAAAGGTGCCTGGCTCATGTATCCTCTCTGCCTACAATATGCAAACACTTCTAGCAAATGTAAGAGAGTAACAAAAGATTTGGGTACTACCAGTATCAGTCAAGCAAGATCCCATCAATCCCAGCTAAGATCTCATGTTTTCATGTTAAAAACATGAAACAAGATTAACAAAGATATTATTCAGCCATGTTTTTTTTTTATCTTGAATACATATATTACAAAGAATAAAAAAGCATGTTATAATTCTAGCTATCAGGATTACTCTCAGAACATTTAAATACACGTGTTCATAACTAGAAGAATCCCTGTCTTCTGGCACAAAAGCCACTTCTAAGCCAAATAAGAATAAGTAATTTTACTTACTTGCTTTCTTATGTAGTAACTTGTGCGTAGCCCAACTTCCTTTAAAACATTCCTAAAACAACAAACAGGGAAATTAGTGTCAAGCCTTCCTTAATTAGAAACATCTTTACAGAGCGTTATTTATAAGAAATAGTTACTGGGCTGGGGCTGGGGCTCAGCGGTAGAGCGCTCGCCTCGCACGTGCGAGACCCTGAGTTCGATCCTCAGCACCACATAAAAATAAATAAGTGAAATAAGGTATTGTGTCCACCAACAACTAAAAAATAAATATTAAAAAAAAAATAAATAGTTACTGAAAAATTCTTGTAAGAAACAAAAATTATGGGAAAAGCTTAAGAAATGACACCTACTCAAAATTTCACTTCAAAAAGCAATCTAAACTTTACTTCAAATAAGCAAAACTAACCTATATATAAACTGAAATACATAGTTGTATTTCAACTTCATCTCACAAAATTATTTTAATTTTTATTTTGTTTGCAGTACTGGGGATTGAACCCAGGGCATCAGGCATGCTAGGAAAGTATTCCTCCTACCTCATTCTCATGAGTAGCTGGAACTTCAGATATGTGCCACCATACCTAGTTTTTGCCAAGTTATTTTAAAGTATGTGAAAAGACCCCCTAGCCAATTAATCAAACTAGAAAAAAATAACAAGGATAATTTCCAGATTCTTCCACTATTTATAGCAGAAGCCAAATCAGTCATTATACACATTAAGTAACCCAACTGAGCAGTTGTGTTCACTATATGACATCAGCCCTCAGACAACAAGCCTTGCAAAGGAAGGGACTGTATTAAAGTTCACCAGTACTTGTAGGTTTCAGTAAGCACTTGTTGACTAACTGATCAGAAAGGATGAATGAAACAGAAAGACAAAACTTCTCATTTAGGAAAATGGTACATGTTTCAGATACCAGTAAGAAGTAACACATTGTGAAAATGGAGTAATAAATTGAATTCAAGTAAAGAACTTAAGTAATTAAAAAATAATTCAACAAGACATAGACCTTATTTATTCTTCAATTTTTATCGTCTCTTCTAACTTTAACTTTGTAAAGTTACTTAAGTCATTAAAAACACTAAGAAAATTCACAAATTCCAACAAATGTTTTATCTTTGAAACATGAACAAGAGAAAAGCCAAGAAAGACTCCTTACAATATGTAGTAATCAAAAAACATTACAGCAGTGATACTAAGGCTGTCCTTTCTAAAACACTGATGGAGGTCCTCTGTAGGTCAATTTCTCTCTCCTGCAAAACTTGCAATGGAACCACCATTTGACCCAGTTATCCCACTCCTCGGTTTTTATAAAAATTAGCATACTATAGTTACACAGCTATATCAATGTACAGCAGCTCAATTCACAATAGCTAAAATTATGAAACCAACCTAGGTACTCTCCAACAGATGAATGGACAAAGAAATTGTGGCATAAATACACAATGGAATATTATTCAGCCATAAATAAGAATGAAATCATGGCATTTGCTGGTAACTGGATGGAACTAGAGATTATCATGCTAAGCCAATCCCAAAGACCAAAGGCCAAATGTTTTCTCTGATATGCAGATGCTCACAACAAAGGAGGGTAGGAAGGGGAAGAATAAGAGTTCATTGAATTTAAAAGGGGAATTAAGGGAAGGGAGGGGAGATGGGAATAGGAAAGGCAGTAGATAACTTTCATATGTTCACGTATGTGTGCACAACCAGTATAACTCCACATCATGTACAACCACAAGAATGGGAAGTTATACTCCATGTATGTACGATATGTCAAAATACACTCTACTGCCATGTATATCTAAAAGAACAAATAAAAATAAGAATGCTATAGGACTTTATGCATCTAACTAAGGTTTATACAGAGTGAAGTGGATACTCAACATGAATGGTATTATCCAATATTAAAGATGTTTATTTTCTAGTTTCAAATTGCAGTTGGATATCTGGACATATAAGTTATCACTTGCTATTATGTACATGTACTATAAATTGTTACATTCTAGAACATGAAATTAATGTTACAAATGAGTGTGTAAATTTTATTAATATAGTGTTTAAGTGATTTAGTTTTAGTATATGATTTATATAGTGTGGTAGTAGAGTAGAGCTGCTGCGGTATGGGACACTGGCAGCCTGGCAAACTTCGTCTTATAAAGTTGTACATTTCTTCTAGTTTTAAAAATCTTTGTTTTCCTTTTAAGATTCTGTATTGATTTTTATTAGATACTAATTCATATTTTAAGCTTAAGTATTTCTAGTTGGACATCTACATACATTTTTAAATCTATTTTATGTTGTATTGAATCTTAATTCACAATAAGAGTTTAAATGTTTCTTGATTTGTTTGCTATTCTAATATCATAGATGCAAAATGTCTGTTGTTAGTTAATAATGTTTTTGTAACTTTAACACTAAATCAAGTTATTTCACATACCTGGTCAATTGCTTCTAGCTTAGAAATCCTTTTTCCCCTTTTTTATTTCCAAATACTAACAATTTTCTTTGATTATTTACTCATTTATTTCAACACTCTCACAGTTGTACAAAACTCCTGTTGATAGTTTTATGTACATTGGGCATTTTGTCAATTTCATCTTAGAACTTTCTCTGAGAGCTCTCTGACTTCCTCTAGTCAGAATTTCTTGATTTCCTGGAAGTCATCCTTAAAGTCTTCTTTAAGCATCATCTTTGAGAGTCCATTTATTTTTCTTGTCATGTCTTATTTAAATTGATCTCCCTCTTTGTTAATTCTCTTGTTTTTGTGTAATGTTTCCTCCAGTAGCTTCCTGAGAAAGATTTTTGAGATTCTGCATAAATGAAAATGTCTTGTGATAGTCTTGACACTTGAAGTTTAGCCAGATATAGAATTCTAGATTGGAAATTATTTCCTCAAATTTTAATGCTATTGCTCCTTAACCTTTTAGTCTCTGGTGTTAACAATTCTGATGCCATTGGGATTCATAATCTTTTGTACAGTGTAATTTCATTGTCACTTAACATTTCTTTGCTGCACTTTCATCTTTGTTGGTCAGTTCTTCCTTGTGATTGATTATCCAATAGTAAGCTTATGATTGGGAAACAAGGCGGCAACACAACTACAAGCTTTTCTGTCTGCATGTGAACTGAGTGGTAAATACACAATGACCAGTCACTCACAGGCTTTCAAAGAAGTGAAGGGACTAATCAATGACTAAGATGAACATCTATTAGTTTACATAGTGATTTACAGACAGAAAAGCTAACAGCAAAGTCTATTTTATGTAATAATTACTTCACATTAATGTGCTATGGTAACTGCCATCTGTATTACTGTTAGAGGACTGGTTTTAAGTAAATCATGAAAACTAAGTTCAGGCATATCAAAACTACACAAAATGAGATCTGTTTTTATACAGTTAGCAACTTGACACAACTCATTTATGAAACTTTTCTAAATAGGTTATGTGAACATAATATTTTTTCATAACCCAGCATTGTTTTATTCTCACAGAACTGATACACCTTTCCTTAAATAAAGCTCAATTCTATCCCAGATGACTCATTTAGAGAACACAGGAGTTTTACATACCAATTTAAATTTTAAAAGGAGAATGTAGGAACCATCAGGGAGAAATGGAAAAAGATACATTTAAAATGTTACAGAGGCTGGGGATGTAGCTCAGGGGCAGAGCACTTACCTTCCACGCACAAAACCCTGGGTTCAATCCCTAGTACAGCCAAAACAAGCAAGCAAACAAACCACAAAATGTTACAAAAATAAATATGTCTACCTAACTTATACCATGTCAGAGAAGAAAAGCCTACTGGATAGAGGTATTTGAGCACTGCGTATAACCAAGGTTTGCAGATACAAAAGCAATCCTTAAGAAAATTGCTCTATGGGGCCGGGGTTATAGCTCAGTGGTAGAGCACTTGCCTTGCATGCGTGAGGCCATGGGTTCAATCCTCAGCATCACATAAAAAAATAAATAAAGATTAAAAAAAAAAGTTTGGCACATGACTTGATGTGATGTATATACTTTAAAAAACTGTTCTAAAAATTAAAAATAAATAAACTCAGTGAGCAGAGATATCAGTGGACACACATGACAAAGGAGACAGACATCACAGATTTAGTCCAACTGTAAAATCTGAAGAGAATACGAGGATCAACTTTTGAAAGCTCAGAAAAATAAATAATGGCAGGCAGATTAGGGAAATGCAAAAATCAAAGTACCACTGAACTGGTAATGAGTTTAGTATGTCCCTGGCTTTGAAACCCTGTGGGCAGCATTAAATGACCACTGAAATACAAAATGCTCAGAAGAAACCCTACAATTCTTTCTCAAGGAAAGAGAAATTTCCATGCTCAGAGAGTACAGAAATTTATCTTCCTTTCTGTTCTCTCACATCTCAGCCCCCGCACAATCCTAAGGTGCTGCCCACAAAAGCTTGTATGAACCAAAATTCTGAGGGATGGGCATTTTCCACAGTGATGCTGTGGTCCAAGGAAGGTGAAGCAAAAACCAATTGCTTTTTCCACTCTCCACCTCCTGCCACTTAGCCCCAGACATGGGCACAGTCATGAAAGGGCACAACAATACAGGTAACTAAAACCCCAGTTTTCTGGACAGAGAACCAAAACAAGGATCCCCAAGGAGCCTAGAAATACCTCATGAAGTTGTTCTGATGCTTGTGAGAACAGAGCTAACAAATAGCCTATCATCTCCATTTCAGGTTGAGCTCTGGGACAGATGTGGAAGTACTGCAAAAGCCTTGAAAAATGAACTTACATGTGAACCACAGTCCACAGAACTTGCAACCTAAATCCAACCAGATTAGTAGCCTGCTAAACAAAAATAACAATATTCAAAGAATTTATATAAGACCCAAGATCTCATAACACAGTTACTTGTCCTGCAGTATCCGGGGATGATTCCAGGACCCTTCCACAGACACCAAATATGTGGATGCCCACGTCCCTTTATAAAAAGGCATAATATTTGCATATAACCTACGCACAACCTCCTTTTTACTTTAAATCGTCTCTAGATTACTTATAACCC